TAATTTTATAAATGGGAGAAGCTGTGTTGTGTTGATCTCTTCATGAATGGTAACACTGTAGTTCACTTTCTTTGGATGATCTCATCGATATAGCCATTATAGTATCAAATGCTAACAAGGACTTCCCTCTACTAAGTTTCTTGCCAATATCTTGCGACTGGAGCTGTGTGAAAGCACGGTTGACGTAGGCCTCATAGCTTGTTCCAATTTGGGTACTTGCTCCTAGGAATAAGGCACATTCCTATGTTAGTTTCTTGAGTAGTGTGTGGGAGACTCAGTTCCTTTCCAAAACTGTTACTTCCTAAAGAGACAGCTTGCCTTCACTCTTCATATCACGAGTTAAACTATCACGGAATTTCCCAGGTTAGCTTCCTGGTGCAGTAGCATTTCTGTTATCGGTGCCTCGCCTAAATAAGGACTAGCTTTATTCCACGTCAGTTATATAACTCACAATAATAAGGAAAACGGCCAAACGTCTCGCCGTGCCCGGGAATAGGTCACGGGACCGACTGCGCTAATCACTGAGCACGCGAAAAGGAGAAACTAAAGACTAACAAAGAAAACAAAGCACAAAAACTCTTGTGCTTGTTCCTCGTGGACCACACTGGTGGTGAGTGACGTGCCAGCGTTCCGCTTGTCCACTACCGGACGTCCTCCTCTTCCTCCCGGTCGCTGCCCTCCCTCCCGGTCGCTGCCCTCCCTCCCGGTCGCTGCCCTCCCTCCCGGTCGCTGCCCTCCCTCCCGGTCGCTGCCCTCCCTCCCGGTCGCTGCCCTCCCTCCCGGTCGCTGCTCTCCCTCCCGGTCGCTGCCCTCCCTCCCGGTCGCTGCCCTCCCTCCCGGTCGCTGCCCTCCCTCCCGGTCGCTGCCCTCCCTCCCGGTCGCTGCCCTCCCTCCCGGTCGCTGCCCTCCCTCCCGGTCGCCGCTCGTCCTCCCGGTCACTGCTCTTCCTCCCGGTCGCTACTCTCACCTCACTCTACTGCTCCTCGTTCTCTGGACCAGATAACACATCCTCACTCACTCCTCCTCATCACTTGCTACTGTAGTTGTAAGCTCGTTAAAACTAGGTACATTAACCCAAGTAACGTTATGTAATAATTATTGTAAAGATTTGTTTTAAATTAGAATATAAATAAAAACGTAAAAGGGGGAGAATTAAATAATTATTAAAACATGTAAACATTTAACGCAAAATTCGTAGCCTCTCCATAATGAGAACAGTATTGTTGGCGGACACTCGGGCGTATCCCTATTAGCTGCCATGAGAAATTCTGAACCTTATGCTATGATGCAAAAGAGACTCATGTGCCTCTTCTTCCCCCGCCCACCTTACTTCCAAGGGCCCAATCATGAGGTTGAAATTGAATATCACATTGAGAGATGTTGCCAAGATGAGGGATGAGGGTATTTTGGGAGAAGTAAAATACTTTCACTGTTTATGAGGAAATGTGTAGTGACAGGGAGGGCAGGTGTAGTGACGGGGAGGGCAGGTGTAGTGACAGGGAGGGCAGGTGTAGTGACAGGGAGGGCAGGTGTAGTGACGGGGAGGGCAGGTGTAGTGACAGGGAGGGCAGGTGTAGTGACGGGGAGGGCAGGTGTAGTGACAGGGAGGGTAGGTGTAGTGACAGGGAGGGCAGGTGTAGTGACGGGGAGGGCAGGTGTAATGACAGGGAGGGTAGGTGTAGTGACAGGGAGGGCAGGTGTAGTGACGGGGAGGGCAGGTGTAGTGACAGGGAGGGCAGGTGTAGTGACAGGGAGGGCAGGTGTAGTGACAGGGAGTGCAGGTGTAGTGACAGGGAGGGCAGGTGTAGTGACAGGGAGGGCAGGTGTAGTGACAGGGAGGGCAGGTGTAGTGACAGGGAGGGTAGGTGTAGTGACAGGGAGGGCAGGTGTAGTGACGGGGAGGGCAGGTGTAGTGACAGGGAGGGTAGGTGTAGTGACAGGGAGGGCAGGTGTAGTGACGGGGAGGGCAGGTGTAGTGACAGGGAGGGCAGGTGTAGTGACAGGGAGGGCAGGTGTAGTGACAGGGAGGGCAGGTGTAGTGACAGGGAGGGCAGGTGTAGTGACAGGGAGGGCAGGTGTAGTGACAGGGAGGGCAGGTGTAGTGACAGGGAGGGTAGGTGTAGTGACAGGGAGGGCAGGTGTAATGACAGGGAGGGCAGGTGTAGTGACGGGGAGGGCAGGTGTAGTGACAGGGAGGGCAGGTGTAGTGACAGGGAGGGCAGGTCTAGTGACGGGAAGGGCAGGTCTAGTGACGGGAAGGGCAGGTGTAGTGACGGGGAGGACAGGTCTAGTGACGGGAAGGGCAGGTGTAGTGACGGAGAGGACAGGTGTAGTGACGGGGAGGGCAGGTGAAGTAGTAGGGAGGGCAGGTGTAGTAGTGGAGAGGGCAGGTATAGTAGTGGAGAGGGCAGGTGTAGTAGTGGAGAGGGCAGGTGTAGTAGTGGAGACGGCAGGTGTAGTAGTGGAGAGGGCAGGTGTAGTAGTGGAGAAGGCAGGTGTAGTAGTGGAGACGGCAGGTGTAGTAGTGGAGAGGGCAGGTGTAGTAGTGGAGAGGGCAGGTGTAATGGTGTAGTAGTGAGGAGGGCAGATGTAGTGTTGGGGAGGAGAAGTGTAGTACTAGGAAGGGCAGATGTAGTGATGGGGAGGACAAGTGTAGTAATAGGGAGGGCAGATGTAGTGAAGGGGAGAGCAGGTGTAGTAGTGGGGAGTACAGATGTAGTGATGGGAGGGCAGGTGTAATAGTGTGGAGGGTAGGTGTAGTGGTGGGAAGGACAGGTGTAGTGGTGGGGAGGACATATGTAGTGGGGGAGAGAAGCAGGTTTATAAGTTGAAGTGAGTGATATGTCGGTGTATATTGTCTGTGTGATGTAGCTTTTAGATTGTATATTGAGTATGTGTTCTAGTGTACCTAACTTAGCAATAAACTGAGTGTGAGTGTTGTGTGTGTGATTAGTTTGATAGTTGGGTATGCAGGCACATGGGTATCCAACCCTGATGCGGTGTATGTGCCCTTTTCTTGTATCCTTTCATCGAAATAAGTGGTTCGTAGCTAGTTGAATTCTTGTACCAGCCTGAATCAGCAGCTGTCGATGTTGCAGCTGCTACGTTGTGATCGCTGTACATCTTCGTCATTGCTTTATCGCTAATACCTATCGTAATCTGTGCTAGACTGTGGTATGTAAATGTCTACGTTCCTTCTCTTAGTTGCAAGGTTTTTACCATCATCAGCAGTATCATTTCCTAGTAAGCATTTGACGACATTTATGTTTGAATGTTATAATTAACGCATTTATTGTCACAATTATGTCCCGGAAGTGTTCTTGCTGCAAGGTTTCAATGGCAGTATGCATGATAACGTGTTGATAGCATTCTTCAAGAGCAAGTTCCAATGCATTTTGAAGGTCTAGTTCTTTCTTTGTAAAATTTGAGTACCCGTTTAAAAGTCTCCAACTAATTTTAGAATTTCCTGCCTTAAATACAACACTGGATTCTTGTCTCTGCTTGTCTATTGGTGTGTCTGTAGTCACTAGTGTTGTGCCCCATAAGTCGGATTTGCAACCTTTGTTCATAATAAAGGTTTTTTACTTATATGTTTAGGTGAACAGCAATATCAGTATGTATTCGGATGACGTAAGAGTCGCATATTAAAGTCGAATGAGAAACCGTGAGAGCTCCAGAAAGATATTATTACATTGCAGAATTAAACATGAAAGTGTATATTACAGTTCTAAATTGGTCGGTATAAGGTCCTAAATTTAGGAAACGACAGTGACATTGTCTATGGATGAATTATACAGGCTTGGACAAATGGAATTGGATCAATACCGACAAAGGTCGGTATTGATACTTAGGTCAATACTTACAATACTATCAATACTTAAGTCTCAATACCTAAGACCCAGGTGTTCCGCGTTTACTAATGCGCGGAACACAGAGGACATGAGATCTCTCAAGTGAATCCACCGTAGGATGACAAGACTGATCCTTGGCATTGCCAACTCCCAGAACATTCTCTTTAACTACCGGACATTATAATTATTAGGTGTGAAAGATGGATGAAATTGTTTATGTTATAATCTAAGTTGAGGTTGGATAAACACCATTTGTGCCCTCTGTAATGCGTTTTGCGCTACCTCTCACAGGATGAGTATGGGGTGCACAATAAATTAGCCGCCTCCTGCGACAACAATTCAAATGATGGAAGACATCAAGTGGATGAGAGATGTATAAACAGGGCGACATGAACAAAGTATGTGAGCTAAAGAAGGATACGCTTAATTATTGTTTTGACAATATTGTGGTAGAAGAGTGGAATAGGTTGGAAGCCAACTTTAGAAATAAGCTCGATAGATACGAGAAGGAGAGGGTTGGAGCTAGAGGGGCAGCACCCATTCTAACGTTCAGATTTCCTTAGTGTGCTAACCTCCCCAGAACGTCTACGAACAGTTTAATAAGACAACTTTCTTCTCGTGACACATGATGAATGTTTTGAGAGGTGGAAAACGATTACACTAGTTACAAAAGCCTGAGGGGCAACACACGACATCAGAGGGGAGAAGATTAGATTGCATGCAATGCTTCGCCTACGGCGTGCAAGGAGGAAAAGATTCCTCAGGGATCTCACCAGCCTATCATGGTTTCGTGGAAAGGAGACGATTGCGTATTTTCTGGACTGAGAGGGTGAGAAACAGAGGGACACCAACTTTGGCGCCAAGGCACCGTGGTTGGTGCCGCGGCGAGAGAACCAATCATTAACGCACCAAGCTGATGTAGGTCTCTGCTTGTGAATAGTCCCTAAGGTGCAATTACCAACCTTCTGAGTCCCAGTTGGCGCTTCTTCCACTGCGCCATCCTGCCTCCTCCCAGTGTGAGACTTCCCAGTACCTCCACGACTGTCTTGGTTAATATTTGAGTAGCGAAATTTACACTTGCTATTCTCATCTAACTGCATTAAGTGTTCTTCGATAACATGACGTTTGTCATTTATTTCTGTTAAGTTTCTGGTGCACATATACCATGTTAATGAATGCTAAATCTTTTCTCTCCTTTTTAGGGATAATTTGCATCTTCAAGTGCAATGCTGTATCTGTACTTAATTCAGCTCAAAGATTCTTAAACCTACACACACATATCTTAACTAAATCATTATTTGGATCACTTAACAACTATCTAAACAAAATTAAAGTACAAGTTTTGTCAATTACAGTAAAGCAGACTTTGCAAGATTAAAAGTTTGTTTTTTTAATTCCCGTCCACTCTCAAAGACAAGGAGACATGAGGTTTCGGCACCTGGTGGCTGAGTGGTAGGCACTCGGGATTCATAGTCCTGTGGACCGGGGATCGATTCCCGGCGATGGCGGAAACAAATGGGCAGAGTTTCTTTCACCATGATGACCACTTGGGCTGGACGGTTGAGCGAGGGTCTCGCGTCATGCAGGTCGGCGTTCAATCTTCGACCGGTGTATATATATATATATATATATATATATATATATATATATATATATATATATATATATATATATATATATATATATATATATATATTATTAAATATGACCGAAAAAGTAAGATTAATAATTCTAACACGAATTTTCTCGATCTTTCTTACGTTTCTTTTCACTGTTGATGGTAATTCAAAGATCAATTCTCCAAAATTCATTTTTATTTCTAGTCTGACGCGACACTTGAGCGCGTTTCGTAAAACTTATTACATTTTCAAAGACTTTAGTTTACACAAACACACACAACTTTAACTGAATAGAGCTTAAACATCTTTCGAGTTTTTATACCTACATTTGGGTGAAGTGACATGTTACAATAGTTTTGGATGAGGTGAAAATAAACTTTTAACACAAGACAGAACACGAAACAATGAAATACAAACAGGTATTAAAAGTAGGTAACTGCAGAAGGCCTATTTTTATTGGCCCATATTTCTTGATGCTTCTATATTGGAGCGGAGTCTTGAAGTGGGTAGAATATAGTTGTGCATTAATTGGCTGTTGATTGCTGGTGTTGACTTCTTGATGTGTAGTGCCTCGCAGACGTCGAGCCGCCTGCTATCGCTGTATCTATCGATGATTTCTGTGTTGTTTGCTAAGATTTCTCTGGTGATGGTTTGGTTGTGGGAAGAGGCTATATGTTCCTTAATGGAGCTCTGTTGCTTATGCATCGTTAAACGCCTGGAAAGAGATGTTGTTGTCTTGCCTATATACTGAGTTTTTGAGGCTTACAGTCCCCAAGAAGGCATTTGAAGGCATAGACGACGTTGGTCTCTTTTAAAACGTTCTGCTTTGTGTCTGGAGAGTTTCTCATGAGTAGGCTGGCCGTTCTTTGGGTTTTATAGTAAATTGTCAGTTGTATCTTCTGGTTTATGTCTGTAGGGATAACGTTTCTACTGACAATATCTTTCAGGACCCTTTCCTCCGTTTTATGGGCTGTGGAAAAGAAGTTCCTGTAAAATAGTCTAATAGGGGGTATAGGTGTTGTGTTAGTTGTCTCTTCAGAGGTTGCATGGCGTTTCACTTTCCTTCTTATGATGTCTTCGACGAAACCATTGGAGAAGCCGTTGTTGACTAGGACCTGCCTTACCCTACAGAGTTCTTCGTCGACTTGCTTCCATTCTGAGCTGTGGCTGAGAGCACGGTCGACATAAGTGTTAACAACACTCCTCTTGTACCTGTCCGGCCAGTCACTGTTGGCATTCAGGCACATTCCTATGTTTGTTTCCTTAGTGTAGACTGCAGTGTGGAAAACTCCGCTCCTTTCCATGACTGTTACATCTAGAAAGGGCAGCTTCCCATCCTTCTCCATCTCGTAAGTGAAACGCAACACAGAATTCTGCTCAAATGCCTCCTTCAGCTCCTGCAGATGTCTGACATCAGGTACCTGTGTATAAATGTCGTCAACATACCTGCAGTATATGGCCGGTTTCAAGTTCATGTCGACTAAGACTTTTTGCTCGATGGTACCCATGTAGAAGTTTGCAAACAGGACACCTAGGGGAGAACCCATGGCGACCCCATCTACTTGCTTATACATGTGCCCATCCGGGCTCAAGAAGGGTGCCTCTTTAGTACAAGCTTGGAGTAGTTTCCTTAGACTGTTAACAGTCTAAGGAAACTAAATATATATATATATATATATATATATATATATATATATATATATATATATATATATATAATATAATATATATATATATATATATATATATAAATATATATATATATATATATATATATATATATATATATATATATATATATATATATATATATATATATATATATATATATATATATATATATATATATATATATATATATATATATATATATATATATATATATATATATATATATATATATATATTGGTGTATACTGGCAGCAGATTTTTATTAAGAAATGATTCATTGAATATGACAGCATATTCTGCATTTTCTTGTTCAGGGCTTCTATTCCTCTGACGAGTGCTCTTGCATCTTGGTTTAGTATTTCTACAAATACCATCTTTGTTCGAGGTAAACTAAAATAATAATTTAACTGTAGAACGTATTACACTAATTATATATGTACTCAACATTTCGAACCTACATGGTTCATTCTCAAGTGATGGGACTGCACTGGGCGTATTGGTTTATACCATTAGAGAGGTCAGGTACATAATACAAATAGATGAGGAGTATGGCGAACAGTAGAAGGGAAGTATAGGGCAAAAATTGGGGACGTAAATGGGGATGAATAAAGTAAAAAAAAAAAAAGTAGGAAGAACATACAAAGATTACGTTGGAATCTTCGTGTTCCGGTCTTGCTCCTACTCTCATGGTGGGTAGTTCCGTTATTAGGGCATTTACGGTTAATTTATTGAAGCAATTAAAAAAAAGCCGAACAACGCCCCATAAATTCCCAAATAACGGAACTATTCACACTACCCACCATGAGAGTAAGAACAAGGCTGCGCAGAGCAGCCAAGATATATTTCAAAAAGAGGATATGCGCGCCATTTGATATATATGGTGAGGGATAACATGCTCAGGTCAGCTCAGATGTATGGCCTGAAAGGAAGTCATGATACCATAAAGTAACGGACGCAATTAATGTGTTGCCGACACCAGCTGAGTAAATGGCATCAGACTCCACAAAAGTGAAAAGCGGGCCAGCTGTAAGGTCACGGGAACAGCTGAGTATCAGCAGCCACACTGTACAAACACCACTTGGCTTAGTCAGCTTGTCCCGGGGGGTCATAAATGTAGGCCCGGCCCAAAGGTAAAACTTTGCGAAATGTTTGATTGATACGCTTATATTGCGAGAGAGTAAGAGAGACAGTGAGAGAGAGAGAGAGAGAGAGAGAGAGAGAGAGAGAGAGAGAGAGAGAGAGAGAGAGAGAGAGAGAGAGAGAGAGAGAGAGAGAGAGAGAGAGAGAGAGAGAGAGAGAGAGAGAGAGAGAGAGAGAGAGAGAGAGAGAGAGAGAGAGAGAGAGAGAGAGAGACAGAGAGAGATCCCCACCACAACACCTGTCACAACGCTACAACAGCACCACAACACCTGTCACCGCGCTACAACCTCACCAGAAAACCTGTCATAACGCTACAATTGTACCCCAACATCCGCAACAGTACTACAACAGCACCACAACACCTGTCACAGCGCTACAACAGCACCACAACACTTGTCATAGCGCTACAACAACACCACAACACCTGTCACAGCGCTACAACAGCACCACAACACCTGTCACAGCGCTACAACAGCACCTCACCATCCGTCACAGCGCTACAACAGGACCACAACACCTATCACAGCGCTACAACAGGACCACAACACCTATCACAGCGCTACAACAGCACCACAACACCCACCAGAGCACTTCAGCAGCACCACAACACTTGTCATAGCGCTACAACAACACCACAACACCTGTCACAGCGCTACAACAGCACCACAACACCTGTCACAGCGCTACAACAGCACCACAACACCCGCTACAGCACTACAACAACACCACAACACCTGTCACAGCGCTACAACAACACCACAACACCTGTCACAGCGCTACAACAGCACCACAACACCCGCTACAGCACTACAACAACACCACAACACCCACCAGAGCACTTCAGCAGCACCACAACACGCACCACAGCACTATAACAGCACTTCCACAACTAGTGGAACATATGGAGCGAAACAACTTTGTAACAAAACATCAACAAGGGTTCAAGGAAGACAACTCATGCCTCACAGATTAATTAAATTCTACGACTAGCGACACAAATCAGGCAAGAAAGAGGGCTGGACAAACAATATTTTTGGATTGCCAGAAAACCTTTGACACAGTACCACATAAGAGACTAATGCACCAGCTAGAGATGCAAGCAGAAGTTAGAGGTATGGTACTCCATTGGATATGAGGTACCATTCCTCAGAAAGAAAACAAAAAACAGCGAGTCACTGTGAGGGGTAAGGTCTCGGATTAGCGTGACGTCACCAGTGGAGTCCCGCAGGGATCAGTTCTTAGACCTATACTGTTTCTGATATATGTAAATGATCGCCCAGAGGGAATATACTTTTTCCTCTCAGTGTTTGCTGATGATGCAAAAATTATGAGGAGGATTAAGACAGAGGAAGATAGTATAAGGCTACAAGATGACCTAGACAAACTGAAAAAATGGTCCAATAAATGGCTAGTAAAGTTCAACCCAAGTAAATGTATGGTAATGATACTAAGCAGAGGAAATAGGAAACCAGAAACAGGATACTGAATGGGAGATGAAGTCCTTCATGAAACGGACAGAGAGAAAAATCTAGGAATTGATAACACGCCAAACCTGTCTCCTGAAGACAATATCAAAAGAATAACATCAGCGGCGAATGCGAGGCTGGCTAACATCAGAACTGCTTTTAGAAAGGACCTGTGTGTAAGGAATCTTTCAGAACTTTATTTACCCGTATGTAAGACCAATCTTGGAGAATGCGGCCCCAGCAAGGAATCCGT